CTTTTTCCCAGGGATGAGGAATTGAAAACTAGATGGTATAGGTTTAAGGTGAGAGGGGAAAGATTTAAGAAGGACCTGAGGGGCAACTTCTTCACGCAGAGAGTGGTGCGTATATGGAGCGGGCCGCCAGAGAAAGTGGTTGAGGCAGGTACAATAGCAACATTTAAAGACTATTTGGATAGGTACATGGATGGGAAGGGTTTGGAGGGATATGGACCAAATGCAGAAAATTGAAACTAGCTGAGTGGGCACCATGGTAAGCAAGACCAGTTTGGGCCAAAGGGCCTGTTTCCATGCTGTATTACTCTATGACTCCATATAACAAGAAACAAACAAATTATTTGTTCATTTCATCTGCCATTTCCTAATTATCTACCATTAACTCTATGCTGATCAATGTAGTATATTCCAAAGTTTAAGTCTTATAGGCGGCACGGTGGCTCAGTGGTTAGCACTGCTACCTCATCGCACCAGGGACCCAGGTTTGATTCCACCCTCAGGCAACTGTCTGTGTGGGTTTCCTCTGGGTGCTCTGGTTTCCTCCCACAGTCCAAAGATGTGCAGGCTAGGTGAATTGGCCATGCTAAATTGCCCATAGTGTCCAGGGATGTGCAGTTTAGGTGAATTGGTTGTGCTTAAAAAAAAATTGCCGGGTATTGTGCAGATTAAATGGGGTTACCCATGGTAAAAACCTTGTTCTTCCATTTTCTGTAGGCGAAATGAAATGATGAAACGTTGGGCATGGAATGTGGAAAAGTGTATAAAAGTATAGCTGGTGTTTAGCATTCAGCTGAAAAGGCTTCTGGTGCTTCCAACAAATTATTTTCAAACTCTGTGTAGACCTGACAAGACTGGTGTATTCCTAAAGATTGAATCAAATCACCTTTTCTCTTCAACCACAACTCAGCTCAGCTATAACGTAACTGAATGACAGATTTAGCATGATGGACTGAATGGTTTAATCCTGTTTCTGCTCTGCGTCGCAATCAAAATTGCTGTTGAACTTCAAAAGTATTTATAAATGTCAGCTCATAATCAGAGCCAACCTGTCTATGGGAGGTTAAACTTGCCTCTATAGTCTCTGTTTACTTAGTGACAAGGAGGCTTTGTTATTTTAAAAAGGGACACCTTAACAGCATTGCACAATATAATGCTCAACACCAGGAGGAGGTACTTACACTGATTATACACGATCTCATCTCAAAACATCTTCAAACAATTATTACATAGGCAAGCATGGTAGCTATTCTACACAACGATACTACAAGCAGCAATGCATTGGATGATCAGTTAATCTTTTCTGGCAGCAATATTTCAATGAGGAACGTTGGAAGAATTAAAGTTTCCTTCTCTGAATAGTGCTCTGGGATTATTAATGTCAGCCTGAACCACAACATTTTCAGACTCGGTTTCGTGAATTGCCATTTCCAAATTCTCAGTTTAGATTAATTTGCTAATTAAACTAACAGCCCATCCCCCTTACATGAGGGCACGTCAAAAGTACAAGAAAGGAGTGGCAGAATGGTGAAATGCAGACCAGGTATCCTGCATCAGTAGGAGGAACAAGTTTAGCATATATTACTAGCGCAAGGTCAGAAGTCACATGACACCAGGTTATAGTACAACAGGTTTATTTGAAATCACAAGCTTTTGGATTTCAGGAAAACCTGTATGACTATAACCTGGCATCGCATGATTTCTGAATTTGTCCACCCCATTACCTCCATATCTTTACTAAAGGCAGTTAAACATTTAGGGGAAATAAACCAGTATAATTAGATGGACGTATGGTTTTATGAAAGTAAAGTTTTGTAGCACGAATCTACAAGAGATTGTTCAGGATATAACTAAAAGGGCGGATATGGGAGAACCAGTCAATGTTATATATTTTTCAGAAGGTATTCAATAACAACCACACAAATGGTTGCTATTCTGCCTTGGTGTTCCTTACCTAGAACCAAATGCAAGTCACCATAGTCCTACTAGGCCTGTTGGCATCTCACTGGGGGTGGTTTAACCCGAGGGTCACCATGCCTCAGGCAAGGGGAGAGGTTGAGAAGGAGAGTCCTTCATGGTAACCTCAGCTGGTGAGAGAACTGAACCCATACTGTTGGCATCACAAACCAGCTGGTGTCCAGCCAACTGAACTAACCAACCTCCAACTTATTCACAACAACAAAAACAAAGTTGCTGGAAAAGCTCAGCAGGTCTGGCAGCATCTGTGAAGAAAAGATCAGAGTTAACGTTTCGGGTCCGGTGACCCTTCCTCAGAACTGTTGGTTTTTATTTAGTCTCCAACGCATTAACATAGATTGAGGATTGGTTAAAGGACAGAAAACAGACAGTAGGAATAAATGGATCATTTTCAGGGTGGCAGGATGTAACTACTGGGGCGCGAGGATCATTGTTTGGGTCTTAGCTATTTAACCATACAACCTACACAAGGGACCAAATATAATTTTGCTGATAATATAAAGGCTTAATTATATGATGTTTGCTAATAAAATGAAGCTAGCTGGGTAGGAAGCGATGTGCAAGACACAAAAAGGCTGCAGTGGGATAGTGACAGGATTATTCCACAAGGCAGTGGCAGATGGGGTATAATCCGGGAAAAGGCGAATTCTCTAGCTTGGTAGTAGGAATGAAGGAGCAGCAAATTTTTGAAACAGAGTAGTAAATGTTGATCTGAGAGGGATTTGGAGATCCTTTTACATGAGTCATAGAACATTAGCATGCAGGCAACTGGAAAGCTGAACTGTTTGCTTTCTCTTCATAGGAATTGGAATATTATATTACAATCCCTATAGTTTGAAAGCAGGCCATTCAGCCCATCAAGTCCATACCTACCCTCAAAAGAGCATTCCACCCAAACCCCTGAAACCCTGCATTTCCCATGGCCAATTCACTTAACCTACACATCCCTGGACACTATGGGCAATTTAGCATGGTCAATCCACCTAGCCTGCACATCTTTGGACTGTGGGAGGAAACCAGAGCACCCGGAGGAAACCAGAGCACCCAGAGGAAACGCATGCAGACACGGGGAGCATGTGCAAACTTCACACAGACAGTCGCCCGAGGGTGGAATTGAACCTGGGTCCCTGGGGCAGCAGTGCTAACCACTGAGCCACTATGCCACCCCAAGTAACAGTAAGAACATCTTGCTCCAATTATATACAGTGGTAAAAGCCTATACCTGGAAGTACAAGGTACAGTTTTGGTCAACTTACCTAAGAGGGATACGCTTGCATTGGAGTGGATGCAAAGGTTCAACAGATTGATGCCTGGGACAAGAGTGCTGGGCTATGAGGAACAATCAAGTTAGTTTGGGCCTGTATATTCCCATGTTTAATAAAGAAGCAGTGATCCTGAGATACTGTTTCTCCCGCCTGGAAAGTCTGAAGCTACAGATCATAGTCTTAAGATAAGGAGTCAGCTATCTAGGGCTGAGGTGTGGGAAGGATTTAGAGGGTTGCAAGTATTTGAAAGTCTGGATCCTGTAAGCTGTGGACAAATGATATAGTCTTTGGGACATGAGCATTAGGGGATAAAAGAGGTTTGGCAGAAATGGGGCAGGAAAATTGAGCTGTGGGGAACATTCGGCAAGAAACTTATCGGCCTTACAGACTCAGGCACATATGGTCTGCTCCTATTTATGTACATTTCATTTGTATAGCACCTTTCACAACCAGTGGGCATTCTCAGAAGCACTGTATGCAATTAAAGTACTCCTCTCGCAGTTATTGTTGTATTAAGGTAATGTGGCACCCAAATGACAGTGTGATAATGACCAGATAATCCGATATAAGGCATGAACATTGGCCAGGACACTGGTGAACACGGCCTTGTTGTTGTTCGAAATCTGCCTCAATCCTTTACTGTCCATCTGAGAGGGCAGGCGGTACCATAGCTCAATGTCTCATCCAAACATTGGCACCCGAGCGTTGGTCTCGACTGTGGCATCCTGCAGGGATACTCGAACCCTCAATTTTGTGACTCAAGAGTGTGAGAGTCACCCACTGTGCCCCAGCTGACACACACATATAGGAGAGGCAGTCAATTCATACCAACTTCTTTAGATTTGACGAATATTAACAGGCACCTCCCAACCTGCAAACATCTCAGCAATAAACAAGTCCCTCTGATTTAATGAGGGGTGCAGCAATTAAAAATGTTTTCAAACTGCAAGGGGTAGGGGATGTGGTCAGACCACCTTGAACACAGCTCCCCCACCCCCGAGACCAAAGGCCAATAAAAAAAGGCTGCTGTTATACAGAGACCGACATCAAGAATATCTGTACATTTCCACTTTACAGGAAACATTACCCAGAAATGTACACCAAGGTCTTTCCCTTCACGTCTGGGGGATTAAAGTCTACCACAACAGCACCAAACACATTATTAATAACGCAGATTCAATTTACTCGCCAGTTTCGTGTTTTATGTATTAAGTTATTACCGGAAGAAAAAGAAAACACGACCAGCAAAAACAAAAATTTAGAAATTTATGTAGGAGCTAAAAACATAACCTTGGAATCCAGCTCAGCAGAAACTCTCAACAGAAAGAGAAAAAACGTGTTTCTTTCTTGTTTTTCAACAAAGAGTTTATTCTGTACCTCTGGAAATTTCTCTCTCTCCTCTTCAGGGGTGAGAATCTAGCCAGGAGCATGTTAGCAGTGGTCTGAAAGCAAAACTGCCCCTCAGATTACACACCACGCCAACCAAGCAATTAAGAGACTCCATTCCAGCAGAAATAAACTGGGCTTGGAGAGAGATAATGAACTTTTACTCTAGGTCTTGTACAACAATATAAGTAGGCTTGACTAATGCATATGATTGTTAAATAGCTGTTTCTCCCAGTTCCAGGATAATTGTCATTTCTCTCTCACTCTCTCTCTCTCTTCCCCACAGACACATATCAGGGCCTGGAGGGAGAATTGGGTAGTTTTACAACAGAGAAAACAACAAGCAGTATCGACCCGTACTTAAACCACACTCACCGTCTATCGACTCGCCCTCTCCCCCACTTTCAGTTGCGATCCAACGAGCCGCTTTCAAAGTCAGTTCAAATTTCTCTCTCTCTCCCCCTCTCTCCTGTGTTCCCCTCTCTCTAGCCCCACACATTTACTCCGCTAGAGCCAGCCAGCATGTTTCTGTTTGCACACACAGAGTGGGGAGAAAAAGGGCCGATGACAAACACGTAGAACTTCCTCAGTTCCCTTTTGCATCTGTCAGTAACAGCATTTGCTTGTCAGAGTCCAACCCCTTTTTCCTCTGGAAGGGGAGGGCAGGGGAGGGATATTGGAGAAACCTGATAGCTGCTGCCTTGGGAAATTATCAGTCATGATCAGTCTGTGCTTCCTTAAGCGCCTGGATCCCTGAAACCTGTGGTTCTGTTCTGCTTTGGTTCAGTTGCTGAATCCCACCCTCTGTTTCATGTTCAAAACTTGACACATCAACATTAAGGAGTTTGCAATAATGGAGACTGAATCCAACGTTTTAAAAAAAATGCTGAAACGAAGATGATTCTTTTCAAACAATAAATAAATACGTCAGCTTTTTTCCCTTCACTTGGCCCTAACAGATTGACCCACAACTGTTTATTTCTCCTACCTCAGTGGCGAGATGTTGTACTGAAGTGAACAAGAATTGTGGCCCTCGGGAGGGTGGGGAGCAAGGTGCTGGGGGTAGGGGAAATGGATCATTCTGGTTTATGTCTTGACAGGCAAAAGTCGCGGTTGAATGGATTTGGAGTGACAGCCACTTCTCAGATCCCCATGGACAAAATGTTTGGGAGATGGTGTCACAGGCGGACTGTCAGCAACAAGACCTCCCTGCATTGATATAGCAGCCTTTAGTGCAGTTCCTGAGGCTGCACAGGGCTATTCAAGGTCAAATCCCACACTGAATCAGGTGACAAGGTGCTGGACAAGAGACTGAACATTTGGTCAAAGGGATAGGTTTTGAGGAGGTTTGAAGGTGGGACGGGGCAAAGTTGGACACTTATTCCACAAACCTCTTCCTTTATTCAGTCAAATAGTGTCTGATACGGAAGCTAAATCGACATTGCTGCCTTTGACTCATATCGCTTCATAACTTTGGTTAACAAAACTCTTCGGGTCATCTGCAAAGGTTGTCTACCTCCATATCCACTAGCAACATTCTGGGCATTATCATGGACCAGAAACGCAACTGGACTCACCACATAAACAGGGGAGGTGATGGCCGAGTGGTATTATCGCTGGACTGTTAATCTAGAGACCCAGATAATGTTCTGGGGACCCGGGTTTGAATCCCGCCACGGCAGATGGTGGAATTTGAATTCAATAAATATCTGGAATTAAAAATCTAATAATAACCATGGATCCATTGTTGATTGTCAGGAAAAACCCATCTGGTTCACTAATGTCCTTTAGGGAAGGAATCTGCCATCCTTACCTGGTGTAGCCTACATGTGACTCCAGACCCACAGCAATGTGGTTGACTCTTAACTGCCCTCTTGGCAATTAGGGATGGGCAATAAATGCTACCTAGCCAGTGATGTCCTCATCCCATTAATGAATTTTTAAAAAAACAGGCTGAAAGAGCAGGTCAGAGTCTAGGAATTCTGTGGCGAGTAACTCATCTCCTGACTCCCCAAAGCTTGTCCACCATCTACAAGACACAAGTCAGGAGTGTGATGGAATACTCCCCATTTGCCTGGATGGGTGCAGCCCCAACAACACTCAAAAAGCTCGACACCATCCAGGACAAAGCAGCTCCTGCTTGATTGGCACCACATCCACAAACATCCACTCCCTCCACCACCAATGCTCAGTAGCAGCAGCGTGTGCCATCTACATGATGCACGGCAGAAATTCACCAAAGATCCTCTGAAAGCACCTTCCAAACCCATGACCACTTCCATCTAGAAGGACAAGGGCAGCAGATACATGGGAACACCACCCCCTGCAAGTTCCCCTCCAAGCCACTCACCATCCTGACTTGGAGATATATTGCTGTTCCTTCAGTGTTGCTGTGTCAAAATCCTGGAATTCTCTCCCTGTCAATATTGTGGGTCTACGTGGACTGCAGCGGCTCAAGAAGGCAGCTCACCACCACCTTCTCAAGGGGCAACCAGAGACAGGCAATAAATACTGGGCCCAGCCACTGACACTCACACCTTGTTAATGAATAAAAAAGAAAAATATCAGAAGCATTGGAATATTGTTCAGGTGACCCTGAGACTGAAGGCGAAGATGTGTCAAGTCCTAAATTCAAGAGAATTTAGTTTGACAGTTAGCATCAGGAAGACGAATATCATGACTCAGGACACTGCCACGCCACCAGCTATCCATGTGGATAATGTGACACTAGAGTTTGTTGATATCACATAAACAGGCTCCACAAATCACTAGCAATTTGTTACTTGAAATCAACACACATTGCAAAAGCTGAGAACAGCATGCAGTGATCTATCAAGCCAATATGCTCTCAACAGCAGTGAGACCTGAGCAGTATTCATTTGGCAGAAGAAAATTCTGAAACAAGTACCATAAATGTTGGAGAAACTCAGCAAGTCTGGAATTTATGAACAGTTCCTCCTTTGTTGTCTGAGACATATCCAAGGCATCCCTTAGCTGAACAAGGCCACCAGCTCAGAGGCACTGGAACATGTTAGTTACATCTGCCTATCTCCATTGGTAAATCAATGATGTCTGTGCTGGCTCAGCCATGCTCCTCAGATGGATGATAGCTGGACCCTCAAACACCTTCTCTAGGATGAGCTGGCCACTGAGTGAATACCTCCTGGGTATCCAGGGCTCTTCTCCGACAAAAGATGCGAAAGATTGGAGGGTCATGATGTGGAGGTGCCGGTGTTGGACTGGGGTGGACAAGGTCAGAAGTCACACAACACCGTGCCGCCCCAGTGTAACTGATCTAACGCTGTCATCATGTTAAGGATGGAGTGATGTATTAACATGGGGCTCTATAATGATATCATCGTGTGGAATGATCTAGTCTGATATGATGCTATTGTCAAGGGATTGTTTACATGGAGTTCTCATATTGTCAATAACATTGTGCCATACTGTTTAGTTGAAATCACAAGCTTTCGGAGCGCTGCTGCCTCGTCAGGTGAAGAAGAAACAGAGGCCAGTGAAACGTGAATCTTTTCTACCTTCTCTCTTCATCTACAGCTAAGGTGGCACAGATGCCAAGCAGAGTGGGGTTGCTGAGCTGCACCAGGCACTGCTTAACACAGAGTTGAGCAGGGTGGCGCAAACCATCATTTTGCAAGGCGGAAGGCTACAGCCACTAGAAAATAAACCTATCAACTTCAGTCTTAATGTTAACCTTTTTAAACATTTTATTCCCTCATGCTGCCTTTCAGAAGGTGGTGGTGAGCTGCCTTCCTGAACCATTGTGGGAGGGTAACAAGGAGCATATCAGAATGGTCAGGTATAAAGGTGACAAACAGGGTGAGGGCTTGTTTCAGCAATAGTTGAGCTAAGACAAGAACGTAGATACCTGAGATTACATAGCGATGGGCATTTCAGTAACTTGGTCCAGGATATAGTTCAGAAAATTCGGCAATAACAGTATGGCACAATGTTATTGTCAATATGAGGACTCCATGTAAACAATCCCTTGACAATAGCATCACATCAGACTAGATCATTCCACACGATGATATCATTATAGAGCCCCATGTTAATACATCACTCCATCCTTAACATGATGACAGCGTTAGATCAGTTACACTGGGGCGGCACGGTGGCTCAGTGGTTAGCACTGCTGACTCACAGCACCAGGGTCCAAACTTTGATTCCACCCTCGGGCGACTGTCTGTGTGGTGTTTGCACATTCTCCCCGTGTCTGCGTGGGTTTCCTCCGGGTGCTCTGGTTCCCTCCCACAGTCCAAAGATGTGCAGGCTAGGAGACTGACCATGCTAAATCGCCCATAGTGTTCATGGATATGCAGGCTATGTGGGTTAGCCATTGGAAATGCAGGGCTACAGGGATAGGGTAGGGGGTTGGGTCTGGGTAGGATGCTGTTGGGAGGGTCAGTGCAGACTTGATGGGCAGAATGGCCTGCTTATGGTAGTGATTCTATTCTGTTCTATTTCACCTCATTCCATGTTATTGCATCATTAGGTTATTCCACAATACAACATTAATACATCATTGTTACAACATGCCAGTAGGTTGTAGATTTTATGCTTTGTGCCGCATTACTTGATCTCAATCAGCAGATGGGCAAGGGACTTAAATCAGTCTCAGAGCTACTGAGGAGATGGTGTTAACCAGAGGTTCTTTCCCCAACAGTGAAATCAGGTTTGTTTTTGATGTTTTCCCAGTTTTGAAGAAAATTCATGTTGGACTTGAAATATTAACTCTGTTTTTCCCTCTCCACTGATGCTGCCAGATCTGCTGAGTTTCTCCAGCATTCTCTGTGCTTGTCTCAGATTTTCAGCCTCCGCTGACAATCATGTGGCTGGATCTGAGCTGGCTTTCATTCTTCCTGGGCCAGTCCAGTCCGCAGGATCCCTTCCCTCGGAAACCGTTCGAACACAAGATGAGATAACAAGGTGTAGAGCTTCAGAAGGGTCTAGGCCCGAAACGTCAGCCTTCCTGCTCCTCTGATGCTGCTTGGCCTGCTGTGTTCATCCAGCTCTACACCTTGTTATCTCAGTTTCTCCAGCATCTGCAGTTCCTGCTATCCCCAAACACAAGATGAACTTATTATTCAACAAGCCAGTTAATTATAAGCTACAACACGTGTTGAATTATTTATTTGAATAGCCTGTCTGTTCTCAACACTTTTCTTTTAATAGAGAGGACAAGATTTGAGTTGTCATTTGAGAGTTGCGGGGGTGCTGGTGGGGGGTAGATTCTTGAGTCCCTGTCATGATGTGTAGTGACAGTGAAGCTCACACTAGGAGTAGGAAGGGTGGGGAAGGTAGTAGTCAGCACTCTGTGTTCCAATGCCGGGATTGACTTCTTCATTTCACTTGCTACATTGTGCTGCAGCATGGAAAGGATCTGACACCTTTTCATGGGGGATTGCATTCTTGTTGTGGTCACTGATTTCTGCCAGGGATACAATGGGCCCTGTTGGAGTGGGCAAAAAAGCCAGAATTGAGAGTCCCCTGTTGGGGGTAGGGGGGAGCTGCAGATGTGGCTGTAGGGGGAAAGGACAAACTGTGAAACTTCTGACATCTGGAGTCATAGAGATGTACCGCACGGAAACAGACCCTTCAGTCCAACT